GCAGGATAATCACTCATTATAAACTTAACTGGAATATTTGGTTATTATGTTCATAGGGACCTGATGTTTTTTTTTTTTTTTTGGTGGGTGTTTTATTTTTTTTTTTTTTTTTTTTTTTCATTCTTTAGATGGAGCTGTAATTATATTATTTTAATGTAACTAAAAATGTATATGCAGGTGGTTCTTCATGTACATTAGAAGTTCAGAGGGAACTACCTATTCTAAAGAAGGTTTATGGTAAAAACATGCATAAAGTCCTGCATGTTGGCCCTGATACCTGTTCAGTAGTGTCAAAATTGCTAAAAGAAGAGAATACTGAGGCATGGGGTATTGAGCCATATGACTTAGACGATGTTGATGCCAACTGCAAGAATCTTGTGCGGAAAGGATTCGTACGTGCAACAGATATCAAGTTTAATCTGCCATATCGTGCAAAATCATTTTCTTTAGTGATAGTGTCAGATGTTGTGGATTACTTGTCGCCGAGGTACCTTAATAAGACTCTTACAGAACTGGCTAGGGTTTCAGAAGATGGTGTGGTTATTTTTGCTGGTAAATTTCTCATTTAGTTAATTTGTTTGTCTGCAAACTTTAATTCCTTGGTTTGCATTCATTCCGTTAAAACTAAAGCCTAGTATGAGTTAGTTAGGGGGTGGAGTACTATTGCTGACTTTGCTAGATTGAAACATTTTTTCAGTCCATACTGCCCCCTTTGGTTAAATTTTTGCAGAAATGGTTTTTATACAACATTACAACAAACCATGGACTTAATCCCTTTTTTTTTTCCCTTGACTTCGTTGTAAAATTATTAAGATTGTGAAGTTCTCTTGATATATGTTCATTTGCAGGTAATCCAACTCAGAAGAAAACGAAAGTTGCAGAGTTATCCAAATTTGGCCGTCCTGTAAGTGACTACATAAAAGCCATATTACTCTTCATACTATTATCAACTTTACAGCCAGCGTGATATCTCTTATGGCTGTTGGATTCGACTATCTTGTTGCATTTTTAAACTAGTTGAAGTAAGTTATACCATATGACTGATATACAAAAAAGATGAAGAGAATAGTTCAATGTAGAAATAGGAATACAAATATACTCTTCCTAACTACATGTAAAATCAGCAAATGGCATGTATCTAAATTGCAAAGCCAGGAAAGTAGAAAGAAACAGTAAATTTCCAGCTCCTAATTTCTCAAAGGGCTGTTGGAATCCAGAAATTTCTCCTTTTTAATGATCATATCTCTATGTTTTGATGTTGCACTTACTCAGGCTAAATTCCGAACCTCAAGTTGGTGGATAAGATATTTCTTTCAGAATAGTCTACGAGAGAATGAAGCTGCTGCCAAGAAGTTTGTACAGACTTCAACCAAGCAGTCATATAAGCCAGCTTGTCAAGTTTTCCACTTGAAGTCCCATTGACAACCTCGGACCTCCACCATCATATCCTTACCGTGGGAATCATTCCAACAAGGTGTCTTCTTTACCCAAAGGGTAATAACGGGTAACGTTATTTCGTCTACCAATTAGCATGAATTTGTCAGTTAAGGTTTTTAGCTCCCTAATGCTGCATCTCATTATTGTTGTAATTCACAGATAATGTGTTGTGATATTATAGAGCGAAATTGAATTTATCACCATATTTTTTGGAAGGCTAGTTCAAGAAGCTCACGGACTGCCTTCTAACTTTGAGAAAGTTTTACCTTCTAGTTGAGAATTCTCCTTTTACTGGTTCCTACAAATATAAGGGTCCTCAGAGGCTAACTTGCTAAGGCTGGTATGGTGGAGCAGGCAGGGCATGCTGTGCTGTTGTGGCTGTGGGGCTTTTTTTTTTTTTTAATATATAAAATATTAATTAAAATGAGTAAGAATATATAAAAAATTAAGTAAAATTAATACTTTTTTTAAATTTATTTTTAGTAGATTTAGTTTTTATGGTTTAATAAAATAAAGATATAATAATTTATTGATAAAATTTTATATTTATTTTTAATTAAATACTATTTAAATAAAATTTTTTATTTAATATATATACTATAACTAT